CTACTACAGCCAAAACAAAATAATTTTTTAAAACATCCCAATTATCTAATAATCTTACAATGCATTTATGTAACACTAACCACCGAGTATTTGATAACTTTAAAATCTTGTTTCTTTCCACATCAAAAAAATCTTGAAATTTGCCCAAAATTGCACATCTCTTTGCACTACCTGAGATATAAGTACTAACTCCTCGAATTAAACTTTCGCACGACTCTGGAAGTTTTTCGCAAGTTTTACTTGCTACAAGCGCGGATGAATGGCAAATACAATTTAACATAACAAGACCCGGTACTTCTAATTTTAAACGTGACATAAAAGAATTATTGCATCCAATCATTACATATGCATTATCACTTGCCATTCCGACTATATTTTTTAAAGGAATTTCTTTCTTTTCAAACATACTTCTAAAAATTTCAAAAAGTTTGTTCGCGGAACAATTTGTTGCATCTATGGATAATAAATCTAACAATTGTGTAATTACTTTTTTAGTTACAGGTGAAACATATTGTACAAGAATACACATAAGTTTTTTATCCGAAATATCAGTACTTTCATCTATTAATATCGAAAATCTACAATTTTGAATATTTTTGATAATTTTTTTAACTTTGCGTTTTGCAATAACTTGTGTTACTACTTTTGTACATTTATCTCGTGCCAGTGAAAGATCTGATACAACTTCAGGGATCATACAGATATCTTTTAATAATGGAATTAAGTGATCTGCGGAATAAAAAGCAATATTGTGTTCTGCAAAAAATGCTGCTAATTATCTGCTAAATATCTCGGCGCGTTTTACTTTATCTTTATGCGAAAGAGTAACTGTACTATTAGCAGCGTCTGAAAAATCAATGTCTAAATTTTTTGAATTTATTTGTTTTATATGTTGGACCGATTGTGAATGTTCAATTAAATTAGATTTACAACTGATAGCTTGATTACATGCAATACACAAAGCTTTCTCTTGTGTAGGATGTGGAGTCAACCATCCTTTAAAAATATTTTCATCTAGCCAAGATGATTGAAATTTTCGGACTCTATTTTTTGGCTTTATTTTCTATATCGGACTCTATGCTTCTAATTAATAAATACAAAAGCCTTACCTTATTTATATCTTCCTAACCTCCTCCTGTCAAAAGTCCCGCGTGAGGTCCTGCACACGACATGTGTCGGCACTGCATTTCCATCGCCGCGCATGCACAAAGCCATATACGCTAAAGCCTTGTGTCCACGATGCTAGAACTCAATCCGAGATCTCGGTCCGAATCCTCGAACAATAATATTTATACTTGGCTGAATATAGTTAGCGTTGTAATCGAGTTACGATTCTTTACGATGATTTTCTGATCTATGTTATATTGCCAAGTTGGTTTATAGATATCATCAAGTGATGCACCGCTTGATTTCGAATGTTTTATTTTATTTAGATGGTCCAGATATTGTGATCTTAAATTATTAATTTTTTTTTGCAATTTCAGTTGTTAGTGGTTGTCCTGTTAATTCTTTGTACTGATTATAGATTATCTGTAAAGCTTGATCTCGTTTCATACGATTATGATAATCAACACTTTTTGTAACATATAAACAAGAATGTTGTTGATATAACATTAATAAAATTTTAACATTTTCCTTATTATCCATTTTTTATTATAAAAGAAGTTTTTTCTGAAAATCAATTTTATATATTATTATACTTTTCTTGAAAAATAATATGTATATATAGGTTATAATATATTTTTAATGTCTAATTTAATCTGCATTAAAACTAATAATAACTACTTA